TTTGGTCAGTTGTGGGTCTTGAACTCTGGGCCTGGGCACTGTCTCTCAGCTCTTCAGCTCAAGGCGAGCACTCTACCTCTTGAGCCACAGCACCACTCCTTGAGCTTCTTTTACTCAAGGCTAGCACTCTACCACTTGAGCTACAGCTCCACTTCAAGCTGTTTTTTAGCAGTTTATTGGAGATATAAGAGTCTCACAAGCCGGGTTCCAGTGGCTCACGCCTATAATTCTAGCTACTTAGGAGGCTGAGATCTGAGGATTGAGGTTCAAAGCTAGCCTGGATAGGAAAGTTCCTGAGACTCTTATCTCCAATAAATCACCAGAAAACAGGAAGTGGCGCTGTGGCTCAAGTGGTAGAGTACTAACCTTGAGCTGAAATGCTCAGGGCCAGCATCCAGACCCAGAGTTCAAGTCATATAACTGACATACATACAAACACACATACACAAAGTCACAGACTCCAACTTGGGCTGACTCTGAACTGCAATACTCAGAACTCAGCCTCCTGAATGGCCAGGACTACAAGCATGAGCCACCAGTGCTTGGTGACATTTTTTTTTTCATTAAAGAGGAGATCGATGTGGAGAAGAACAGAGCTGTATTCAGAGTCAGGAGAATTTTTTTTTTTTTTTGCCAGTCCTGGGGCTTGAACTCGGGGCCTGGGCACTGTCCCTGAGTGTCTTTTGCTCAAGGCTAGCATTTTACCACTTGAGCCACAGCACCACTTCTGGTTTCTTCTGCTTATGGGGTAATAAGGAATCAAACCCAAGGCTTCATGGATGCTAGGCAAGCATCTACCACTAAGCCACATTCCCAGCCCAGGAGAATCTTTTAATAAAGATGCTGTCTCCAGCATGGAGAATGGTTCCCTTCTGACTACTGCTCCCAGAAACACCCAAGTCTTCCAAATTCTAGGGGACCTTATCTTTCTGTAGTCCCAGGCCTGTAGAGCTGGCAATAAAGTCCATGGAAGGTTAAAACAAAAAGAATTCTGGAGGCTGGGCACTAATGTCTCATGCCTGTAATCCTAGCTGCTCAGGAAGCTGAGATCTATGGATTGTGGTTTGAAGCTAGCCTAGTCAGGAAAGTCTGTAAGACTATTATCTCCAAAAAAAAAAAAAAAGCCAGAAATGAAGCTATGGCTCAAGTGATAGAGCACTAGCTTTGAGCAGA